CTCATCCGCTCATTTAACTACACATATGCATCATGCATAAATAAAATAAAAAGTACTAACCAACATGCGAGCGGTATTTTAAGCTTATCATTGGTGGTATTGGCAATACCGGCCAAAGTTGCCATCCAGTCGTTCCAGCATTTCTTATTAGTCTTACGGTCAGAGTTACCACATTTGCCCATCTGTTGAAACTCGAGTCCGCGGCGCTTGAATTTACAGACACCCACCGAATGCTTGACCACTGAATACACAAATAAATTCAATACTGTTTTCTCCATATTTTGCAAACACGTATCGCCGTATCGTTTCAGGTCTTTCTCGCGCTGTTTACTTGCACTGTATATTGAAATTAAATCAAAATTTTAGTAAATTAATTAAATATAACATTATGTACTGTTTTAGGCATATGTAATGAATAGTATCTATGATTATATACTCGCAAAATTGTTTCATCTCGGTCTCGTTGGTGGGAAATTTTTGTTTGTCGGCCGCAAACATAAACATCTCCTTGATCAATTGGTCGGCTTTTGGCTGCTCCACATCACACTTGTACTCCTGGCCCATACATACCCTGTCGTTTCCAATCCATACAAATGCTATAACTATTGCTATAAGCGAATACATGGTCAATATAATTATTCAAGTAAATAAATTAAGTTAAATGTTTAGTCTATTGCCTTAGATATTTAAACTGTAGATTACTATCGAGATTTTGGCATTTTATACTATTTGGTTTTTATGATCAAGGTAAGGGATTCTTTATTAACCTTGGTATATAAGGGGAATATTTACTTATTTGTTTACTTTAAAATTGCATTGTTTATTGTCATCGACTTTTGATTTGGTCAATTTCAATAGATTTATATTTTAGCTATTTAAGTATGCACTCTTGACAGATTTATGAATGTAAATTTATTTTTATTTTTTGCATAAATTCTTATTTTATTTATTTAATTGAAAAGGGATTTTTCTTTAAGGTACAAATCATACATGTTAGTACAGCAGTGAATATTACTGTAGGTATATTAACTACAGTATTTTCAATGAACATATTATGTAATAATTTTAGTTCATCTACTGATCACATGTTAACACAAAAAATATAGTTAAGTTTATTAATTATATCGATGATTAATTGTTTTTTACATTTAAATGCAATTAACATAAATTATTTATTTTATATAGATGTAATCATAAACATATGTAGCGCATAAACATAATTTTGATAAATGCTATGCATAATTTGTGTTTTTTATTTATATTATATAATTTTTAAATAGCAAACACTGTGCTATTTAATAATCATCTTAGCATTACAAGTTTAATTAATTACAAAATAATTAGCTTGGTAATGAGTCGAGAATGCCCACCATTAATCTGATTGGCGATTGATTTTCACCGCTTGCTTTGGCTGTTGTTTTGGGCATTTTATTCATCAGTTTGTCGCACATATCGTTATCCTTGCCGTAATCGCCGCACATTAACGCCATTGAGTCCGATAGGTATGTATCAAACATATTGTCCAAGTATTCAATGGACTTTTGTTTACATAGTTTTGGCTGCTTTTCATATGCCTTTGTCAAACACAGACCCATTTGGGATACGTAACTGTATTATGCGTTAATATTATCAATTAATTACATTAGTTTTGAAGTAATTTTTAATTGTTAGTAGGTTGTTTATTTAATTTATATTAGTATAATCGTGCTTAATTCTCTTTCTCTCTCTCTCTCTCTCTCTCTCTCTCTCTCTCTCTCTCATTTTAAAATAAATAATTTATGTTAATTGCATTTAAATGTAAAAAACAATTAATCATCGAT